GAATCGAACGGTGACCTCCTGGTTCCTAGGTCAACGCTCAACCACTGAGCCACACCGGCCGGGCTGCCTGGTCTCTAGGGCTGTTCCTCTTGCAGCGCCGGCCCTTTCACTACGTCCCAGGCCAGAGGTGGCTCTGAGCCAGGGCCCATCCTGTTGCACGCTATTGAGGAAGGAGCCCTGTTGAGGACCAGCCGGCCTGGGGAGCGGAGGGAGGGCAGAGCGCGGTGGATGGTGGGAAAGGAATCCGATAGGCATCTTCTATGGCCACTCCTATTATCCCTGACACAGGAGTCCTCTACTCAGAGAATGGCCAGGTACTGAACTGCCACAGGAGGGCCTGTGTTTTCCTCGTAGGCGGTGAACTGTGTTCCACTTGGGCTGTGTTCCCCGGTAATTCAGGACCAGTGGAAACCTTGACAGCTCTTATTTTAATTGGCAGAACATGAGCTGGACCAGGACTTCGCACGACACTCCCCGGGATGATCACGCGAACCCTGCTGGGCGGGGACAGTCTGTGTCCCTCTTGCGTTACACAGCTTAAAGCTGGAAGGTGTGTGAATGAGTTTATGGGGGGCCCCAGCTCAGGGGCATTTAACATCTGTGGGGGGCCCGGCCGGCGTGGCTCAGTGGTTGAGCGTCCACCTATGAACCGGGAGGTCAGGGTTCGATTCCTGGTCAGGGCACATGCCTGGGTTGTAGTATACAGCTTAGACCCCACTTACCAAAGAGTGGGAGGCAGGGGCGATCACTCATCAATTTCCATCTCCCATTGGTTGAGGGGTCATCTGTGAGATCCTTTGATCAGCGTGTGTCCCCCACTGAGCCATAAGCTCCAGGAAGGTAGGGACTGTGTCTGCTTCTGCTTCTTCCAATTTCCCAGTACAAATCTTTCAAATCCAGTGTGACCGTAGTTAGCTAGTTATTAGTAGAAGCAGAGCAAGGGGAGTCAGACATTGTTAAGCATGGTCAGCTGGGGAGCATGAACCTGTTTGCTTCACCAGGAAGCTACGTCTTAACCACCCTTCCTTCCCCCATGTAGGGAGTTCCCATACAGGACTGAGTGTGTGTGTGGCGGGGGAAGGGGGGGACAGCGGGGGCAGGGAGAGATAAACACACATGCAGATGTCAAAATGGTGCACAGGGAGGTGCTTGACCACAGGGGCCTGTCAAGTCTAAACCTGGGAAAGGGGTCATTGGTCAGGGGGTGGGCCCATCAGAAGCCCGTGAAAGCTTGGGAAGTTGATCGGTTATTTTGAAAAAACCTCCTGGTTATAATCTCAGGTGAACCAAGAAACTCTCCTGTCTTGCTTGGTGACCCGCACTCCCCCATGCATTGCCACGTTCTCCCACCCGGGAGCACGCAACCATGCGGATCTAGCAGCTGCTGGGACCTGCAGCAGACAGCGCGGGCTCCTCGGACTAAGCTTCAATATGAAGCAGAGGCTCTGGACGCTGGCCTTAGTGTTGGCCTTGATGAAGACGAGGTTGGACTTTTTCCATGGC